CTTGATCTCCCAGGCTTAAGGATCCTCCAACCTCAACCTCCCAAGCAGCTGGGACCACAGATGCATACCACCACACCTGGCTAAGTTTTAAGTGTTTTTGTATAGATGATGTCTCACTGTGTTGCCCAGGCTGGTCTTGAACAGCTAGGCTCAAGTGATCCTCCCACCTCGGCCTCCCAAAGTGTTGGGATTACAGGCGTGAGCCACTGCTCCTGGCCTGGCCTTTTCATTGATCCTCTTTGTCAAGTTAAGAAGTTCCCTTATCTAGTTTTCTGTTTTTCTCATGAAAGGGTGTTGGATTTTGTCAGATGCCTTTTTTCCGTGTTTTTTGTTTTTGATATAATCATGTTTTTTTTTTCCTGTATTTTATTAATACAGGGTATTACACTGATTTTCAGATATTAAACCAATCTTTCTTTCCTCTTGTTTGTGGTATACAATCCCTTTTATATTTTGCTGGATTTGTTTTGCTGGTATTTCTTTGATAATTTTTTTGGGTCAATATTTATAAAGTATATTGATCTGTACTTTCCTGCTGACATCTTTGTCGTGTTTTCACATCAGGGTGGTATTGGCATCATACGATGGGTTGGGAATTATTCTCTCACCTTCTAGTTTGTAGAAAATTTCATGAAGAATTGGCATTAATACTTTTTTTAAGACTAATATTTTAATTTTTGTTTTTGTCTTTTAGGATTCTCCTTTTACAAATGCAGGAATGGGATCTAATCTAAATCTGTTAGGTGAAATTGAGTGTGATGCCAGCATAATGGATGGAAAATCCTTAAATTTTGGAGCAGTTGGAGCACTGAGTGGTATGTGGGCATTATGACCTACTATCTTTGGAAAATCATGCACGTGACCATTTCATGCCTTCTAAAGATGATTATGGTCTTTTTCACCATTACTGCTTGGAATAGTGTTTAAAACAAATATGCTTCTTTTTTTATTGAATTTAAAACATACAGTCTTAGTTATACGTAGTTTTTGGTTTGAATTTGATCATTCTCCTGTATCCCTTGAAGAGATTAAAGACATTTAAGACTTGATTTAGAATATTAATTTTACAATTTGAAATACACACTATAGTTTTTGTTGTAAAAAATTTCAGGTAATATAAATCAAGTTTACCTTTGATCCTCCAAATCTTTTCTTTCTCATTTCCTTTCTCCCTGGGGTTTAACCAGTAAAAATCCAGTGCTTTCATCTATATTTTTATGTAATAGAAACACAGTTTTATTCTGTGCCTGTATTTGTTTTCTTAAAAAATAAATGTGTTAATTATTATAAACTTTTTAGATTTAAATATAATCTTTGGAGATTTTTTCCACATCAGTACATAAAAGATATGTCTCATGTTTTATACTTCATTTTTTAAAGGAAAATATACATGAAATATGTATTTTATGTGTACAGTTTCATGAATTTTTAGATGTAGACATCATATAAGCCGCCACCTAGATCAAGACATTCAACGTTTCCGTGTCAAAATGTAGAACATTTTCATAATCCCAGAAGGGCCCTTTATGCTTCTCCTCGGTCCATACTTCTTGTGCTCTCTTCCCCCATGCTAACTTTGGGTACCATAGATTAATTTGCCTGTTCCTAAAACTTACATGAGTGGAATCAGACACTTCTGTGTCTGTTTTCTTTTGCTTAATGTTATGCCTGTGAGATGGATCCATGTTTTGTGTCAGTAGTATTTTATTTTTTACCACTTAGTAGTATTTCATTGAGTGAATATACCATAACTTCTGTATTTAGTCTCCTCTTAATGGGCATATGAAATTTCTAGTTTTTTACTTTTTTGAGTAAAGCTTCAGTGAATATTATTTTACATGTCTTTTGGAAGACATATGTACTTCTGTTTGTTTTTTTTTTTTTTGAGATGGAGTCTCATTCTGTCACCCAGCCTGGAGTGCAGTGGTACGATCTTGGCTCACTGCAACCTCTGCCTCCCAGGTTCAGTTGATTCTTCTGCCTCAGCCTCCCAAGTAGCTGGGACTACAAGCACCCATCACAATGCCTGGCTAATTTTTGTATTTTTAGTAGAAACAGGGTTTCACCATGTTGGCCAGGCTGGTCTTGAAGTTATGACCTCAAGTGGTCTGCCGGCCTCGGCCTCCCAGAGTGCTGGGATTATAGGCGTGAGCCACAGTGCCCGGCCACGTATGTACTTCTTTAGGTACATATGCATATATGTTTTGCTTTAATAGATACTGCTGGTTTTCAAAAGTAACTGTTGCAATTTATACTCCCACTAGCAGTGTAGGAGTTTTTCAGTTACTCTGCATCCTTGCCAATTTTTGGTATTGTTATTGTTTTTAAAATTCAGCCATTTTGATATGTGTGTAGTGGTATTATTTAGTGTCCCTAGTGACTTATGTGTGTAGTGGTGTCCAATTCGAGTGTCCCTAATGACTTATAAGAGCCTTTTCATATGCTTATTAACCATTTAGATATCCTTGTTGAGAAGTGCATGTTCGCACCTTTTGCAGATTTTTATTTGATTATATCTTCTATTGATTTGTTGGAGTATTTTAAATATTTTACATACAAATCCTTTGTAAGATACATGTATTATGGATATCTTCTCCCAGTCTATGGTTTGCCTTTGCAGTCTCTTAATGGTGTTTTTTGATGAATAGAAGTTTCTGATTTTAATGAAGTTTAAGTTAGCAACCTTTTCTTTTATGATTAACTCTTTGTATTTTAACAAGTTTTTGCCTGTTCAAAGTTATGAAGATAGTCTTCATTCTTTTCTTTCTATAATTTTATTGTTTTTATCCTTCACATTTAGCTTTCTTATCAAGCTCAAATTAATTTTTGTATATGTAACATAGGGGTCAACATTTGTTTATTTTTTCCTCATATGGATATCCAAATGGTCCATTGCCCTCTATTGAAAGGAAGTCTTTTCCTCATAGAATTGTGTTGGGAAATTAGGTGGCCGTGTGATAATTTTTTACTGTACACTGTTATGGCTGCTTTCAAAAATGAGTTGGGACCCGGGAGGCGGCGGAGCTTGCAGTGAGTGGAGATTGCACCACTGCACTCCAGCCTGGGTGACAGAGCGAGACTCCGTCTCAAAAAAAAAAAAAAGAGTTGGGGATTTTTTTCCCTATTCTTTGAAAAGGTTTGTATATGATTGGAATAATTTCTTTTTAATTGTTTGAAAGAATTCATAAATTATTTCAAATTAGTGGGGTTTTCTTTGTGGGAAGTTTTAAAAGTAGGATTCAATATTTTTAGCATTTATATGATTGTATTTTCTTTTTCATGTGCATTTTTCTAGGAATTTGTCTGTTTCATATGAGTTGTCAAATTTGTTTGCCTAAAGACATTTTAGTTAACTTTCTTTATTGATTTCTAGTTTAATTCCACTGTGGCCAGAGAATGTACTATGTATGATACCAATCCCTTGAAGATTTTAGAGACTTGCTATATGGCTCAGATTATGGTGTGTTTTGGTAAATTTCCATGTGAACTTCAAAACAATATGTATTCTGGAGTTGTTGAGTACAGTGCTCTATATGTGTCACTTAGGTCAATTTGGTTATTTATTTGTTCTGATGTTTTATATCATTTCTTTTTTGTGATAGTTAAGAAAGGGTGGTTCAATTAGTTTTACTTTTACTTTTTTTACTATGAAGTTTTATTGGTATTTAATAAAATTTCATGTGTTTGAAGGCCATTAGGATTTCTCTGGGTACTACCTGTTCATACCTGTTGTGTGGCTTACCTGTTAACTCTGTTTATAATATCCTTAATCATATTGCAATTAAAAATTTTTCTTTGTCCAACTTACTGCTTTCTCTTTTGTGGCTTTTGTATTTTGTATTTCTTAAAGTCTCTTATAATTTATAAGCGTAATTTACTTGTATTTTCTTCTAACACATGTATAGTTTATTTTTCCTTTACCTCTTGAATGCGTTTTTTTTTTCCTGAAATAACTGAGAATTGTTCCTACATAGTTAATTGAGTAAGTACAGTTTATTAAATGACTGTAATACCCTAGGCATTGTTCTACAGTGGTTTACATATTTTATTTATTTATTTATTTATTTATTTATTTATTTATTTTTGAGACGGAATCTTGCCCTGTTGGCCAAGGTTGGAGTGCAGTGGTGCGATCTTAGCTCACTGCAACCTCCGCCTCCTGGGTTCAAGTGATTCTCCTGCCTCAGCCTTCTGAGTAACTGGGATAACAGGCGTGTGCCACTATGCCTGGCTAATTTTTGTATTTTTGGTAGAGACGGGTTTGACCATGCCGGCTAAGCTGGTCTTGACATCCTGACCTCGGGTGGTCCGCCTGCCTCAGCCTCCCAAAGTGCTGGGATTACAGGCGTGAACCACCGTGTCTGGCCCAGTGGTTTACATATTTTAAATCATTTAGTTCTCACAATACCCTTATGAGGCCTATGCTTTTATCCTATGTAATACCATTATGAGGTCTATGCTTTTAAATCATTTAATTCTCACAATGCTCTTATGAGGTCTGTGCTTTGCAGATGAGGAAACTGAGACACAAGAGAGATTTAGTAGTTTTTCCAAGGACATTGTATTATTCTGGGTAAAACTAGAAGACAGAAACCATACCATAGTTTAAATAGAAGTTTAATATAAAGAGTTATTAAGCAGTGATTGGAGAGTAACTCTGTAAACATGGGAAGAGAACTCAAAAATGTATCCTAGGGCAGAGGGAGAATACCCAAAGAGAACACATTTGGAAGTAGGTTTAGAACTCATTGAAGAAGGTGTGGCTATCATCCACTGTATGGCAGAGAAGTTGCTGAATTACCCAGGCCAGAGCTAGTCTATAGTTAATGTGTGAGTAGGATCAATCCTGTGAGGCAGAGGCAAGCTTAGGCTGGTAGGTGGGCACACAGAGGTCAAGATGCTGTGAGAATTAAACCTCCCTGGGCAGGATAAAGATTGGCCTTTGGCTCACTGCACAGGCACCCTGTGGAACACTTGCTATGTGTGCCTATGGGGCTGAGCACTGGGTGTGGGGATCAACGTCCTGAACTGGAGTATGGTCTCATTCTTTCTGGAGCTCTCAGCTATGCTGCTGTGGCACCAATCAGGAGCCGGAGAAAACGTGGTGTCCAAATGCTGGAGAAAGCTGCTCCCTGTGGGCACTTAGCACAGGAGAGTACCACATTGGCCAAAGTGAAGCCTGGTGAGCAAGATACCCTTTCTTCCTACAGTATTTCTTTAGTGTCCTCTACTGACAAAACTTACCCATTGTGCTAGCTGGCAAAGGAAACATACTTAGAGGGCCCATATCCATTTTCACACATCAGGCAACAAAGGGTGAATTTGTAGCTGAGAAGCGATAAACTGATTAACTGAAACAGTTACAAAGTAGTCTGACTCCTAGGCTTTTACCTTTGTGTTCTTTCTCCCTCTTATATGTAGTTAACCCTTTTCCTACTGATTTGAAATATTAAATACCTAAATTCACAAGTGTCTGTTTCTGAACTTTAGCTTTATTCTATTCCATTGACATATTTGTTTATTTTGTACTCAAACCACTCTTTTTTAATTAGAATAGCTTCAAATAAAAAAAAGATATCTTGCAGGGTAAATACCTCTTCATTTTTCTTTTTCAAAGTTTTATTTTCCTGATTAAGAGTCAGCTTCTCATGTATCGTGGAAATCCTTTTGTGGTTTGATGGAGAATTGGATTTATAAGTTATAAATTGGATTTATAAGTTATAACTTATACATATATAAGTTATATAAACTTATAAGTTATATAAACTTATAAATGTATGTTATATAATGTCCTTTTTTCTAATGCCACAGGATATCTAATAATATAACTAGAAAACAGTTTATTTAGCCATTGATGGGTATTTCGGGAGCTTATATATATACATATATACATAAACTTATAAATGTATACATATATGTTATATAAACTTATAAGTTATATAAACTTATAAATGTATGTTATAACTTATAAATCCAATTTATAACATAAATTGTTAATTTATAAATAATATATATAAAGTTACAAATTGGATTTATAAGTTGGATTAAAGATTTGGATTTATAAGTTAACTTGGAAAAGTTTAATGTCTTTACAATATTGAATCATCACATCCAGAATTATATTGTTTTCAGAAGCAGGAGACCTGATTTGGGCTTTTCTTTATCTTGTTTTGTATTTCATACTTTTTTTGTGGAAGATTTGGTATTGAACTACATTTCTACAGTTGGTTTTGCTTAGAATCAATCTGTTGGCCTTAATTTAAATTTTTATAGTCTCTTTATATATCCCACTGATGATTTGTTTGTATTAATAATGTCCTGAAAGGCAGGCATAGATTAATGATGAAGGGTATGGTCTTCGATATTAGCTGCCTCTGTGTTAAAATTCAGCGCTGTGATCATGGGCAGGCAACTTAACTCTCTTTATAAATGTTTTCTCATTAATCAGATAGGATTAATAAGTGTTGGTTATATGACAGAATTGAAGGATCAGCGAACTCATCCGATACATTTAAGAGTTTGGCACTAGGCCTGCAGCATATTAGGAAATAGTTACTTTCATTGCCTTCCATCATCATCATCATTGTTGTCATCACTGTCATTGTCTTTGTCATTGTCATCTTGACAGTGTTTATGACACTCAAACTGTCCTGTCAGTTCTCCTGGATAAGCACCGTCACCTCACTTGTACATACCGGTTGGCCTCTTGGAAAGAATCTGAACCACATTTTAGGTTACAATCTTTTATACAGTTGGCCTTCTCTCCCACCCTTACCCAATTTGAAAGACATTTCCCCGTTCTATCTTTCTTGTAGGTGACATTTAAAAGTTTTGGCTTATTTTTCCCCCATTAATTTTTATCTCCAAGGTCAACTTGAAGCTGTTTATAATGATGTTTATTCTTTAAAGGGAGTTTATGGTTTTGTGGTCACTAAATGCCTGGAGCATGTATATAGTTTTGATAGTAAGATAGTATCACATTTTCAGTTCATTTTAAACACTCTATTCTGAAATCTATTAAAAAAGATTTAATTTAATTTAAATATATAGTATTTCAGTTCAGCCTTTGCTTCTGTAGCACATGACAAAACATGAGAATATGTATTTTATATTTGTTCTTTTCTTGCTTCTAGGTTTTCATTTATTTTTTGATTTAACTCTTATTGCTCATGGTTATTAAGGGTTTTCATTAGTGTTACTTGATATATCAAAAAAGAATTTCCAAGATATATTCAAGTTGTTTTATTGAAACAACTGCAAAACTAAGTGGGAAACTGAAAGACATTTCTGACATCTTTTTTGCCAATTTTTTTTTTATAGGAATCAAGAACCCAGTCTCAGTTGCCAACAGACTCTTATGTGAAGGGCAGAAGGGCAAGCTCTCGGCTGGCAGAATTCCTCCCTGGTAACCACTTTGTTCTTCCCAACTTTCCCTGTCTTTAGTGCATTTTTATCCACAGAAGGCTGATGCTGTTGGTTACATACCAGGTATCATGCCTTTGAAGAAGAAGATAAACTTTGTTCTGTGATCATGGAACATTTTGTACAGCTGATAAAGTTCTGGATGGAAAAGAATATTATGGATTAAAGCAGAAAGGGGATCAGTGTTCAACTGGGCTCATTTTATTTTGAAACTTAAAAAAAAAGTGACACATTGTAGTCTAGAGTCTAAAGTAATTTTTAAATTTGAGAAGTTCTTAGCATAAAAGTACGTGGAATATAGTAAATAGCCCTTATGAACCTGTGATCCAGCTCCAGTAATTACCAGTGTTTTGTTCTTATCTGTCTCATGCATCTCAGGTTTTTTCCTATAGGGTTTTTTGTTTTTGTTTTTGTTTATTTTTATTTTATTTTATTTTTTTTTTTGAGATAAGGTATCACTCTGTCACCCAGGCTGGAGTGCAGTGGTACAGTCATGGCTCACTGCAGCCTTGACCTCCTCTGCTCAAGAGATCTTCCTGCCTCAACCTCCTGAATAGCTGGGACTACATGCTTGTACCACCATTCCTGGATATTTTATTTTTTTTTTACAGATGGGGTCTTGCTATGCTGCCCAGGCTCATCTCAAACTCCTTGATTCAAGCAATCCTCCTGCCTTGGCCTCCCAGAGAGCTGGGATTATAGGCATGAGCCACTGTGTCTGGCCCCTATAGTATTTTAAAGCAAATCCCCGACACCATAGTTTACCCTTAAATAGTTTTGTAAGTAATTCTGTGTTTGCAAAACATAGCCACCGTACTGTTAGCTTGCCTAACAATATTAAAACTTATGCTTTAATACCATGTTATACTTAGTCTATGCTCAGCATACCTGGTTATGCAGGTTACATTAATGTTCTGTGTTCAAAGTTGTGGTGACAGTGCTGTAGGAATCACTTTGTTTGATTCTACTGTGTTTTGAAGTCACAGAAAATATATAGTTAAAAAAATCTTAAATCCTTTACCCAGCTAGATTTAAAATTTTAATTACATATATCCCAGTTTAATTATGGCACTAGAGAGTCAATTATGAAAAAATTCTCAAATATTAATTTTTAATATGTGTTTTTGATCAAGCAGTGGTAAGGGGTAGCAAATCTGATTTATTGAGATCCTTTCTAATATCTGTTGGATTGATTTCAGTAAGTTTTCTGGTAACTCTGAAAGTGAGAAAAGTGATTTAAAAAAATCTTCCCTCATGATTTATTTAAAAAATGCTTCTCTCATGATTTATGTTAAACCCATGCTATTTTGTTTAACTGGTATGAGATTATCAATCCAAAATTTACTAAGTATTTGTTTAGTAGGTACATGTGGAGTCCTTCTATCCATACGTTTTTAAGGGAGTAGTAAGTGCAAAGAGATTGTCTCTGGATTTATATTCTCTGTAATGTGCATTTAAACATGACTGTGTTCTTTCATCCAATATTTTCTATTGTGTGTAGAACCTAATTAACATGAACTAAACAATTTAGAAGACATGTACCCAGTAGGGAGGAGAAGATGTAGTTGTTTGGTTGGCAAGAAAAATAGCATAAACAGTGTAAAAAGCATTTGGAAGTTCACCTACAAGTCTACTATAATCCCGTTGCCCCCACTCCTCATGGCGTTTACCAAGCAAATTCTCAAATTTATATGGAGGAGCAAATGTAAAAGAATAGTAAAGACAGTTGTAAAACAGATGAAAGAGTTGGATGTACTTAATGGATAGCATGATACTTTTATATAATACTATAGGAATTAAAACAGGTTGATATAGGTATAGATAAAAAGATCAGTAAGAACTGCAAGTCTAGAAGCTGACTCAGTGCATGAGGGAATTTGGTCTGTGACAACAGTGTCATCTCAAATCATTGTGGGGAAAAATAATGGTGTATTAAATAAATTGTGTTGGGACAGTTGACCACCTAGTGCAAGAACATTAAATTCCAATGTCATATCACTAAGAAAATGCCCAAACCCAAAAGTAAACAAGTGTAGTATAAAAATATTAGGAAAAAATATGGGAGAGTATTCTTATGACTATGAGGCAGCAAAAAATTTATTAAGATAAAAAATAAAGCTAAGTATTGAAACATATGACAAGTGAAGATGTATAACGGTTATACAACTGAAGATACTACGATCAGAATTAAAAGACAGTATGTCCTTTGGAACTGAGAAAAATTATTTGCAGGATATGTAGCAAACAAAAGATTATCCAGAGTGTTTATGAACTAGAAAATATCAATAAGAAAAAGGCAGCTCACATTTTAAAAATCAGTAAAGGATACAAATAGGCAATTTATGGGAAAGAAAATATTAATGGGATATAAACATATGAAAAGGTGCCCAATAATATTAATCAAGGAATTGTTAGTAATAAAATAGATGATATTTTCACCTTTTTCAAGTAGCAAAATTAACAAAGACCAACAATATGCAGAATTATTCAGGGCATAGAAAAATCGGTTCTTTTGCTGTTGATGGGAACATAAACAGCCGGTTGAGAGACATTTGGATATTATTTATTAAGTACAAATTAAAAATGCACATTGTATGCCCAGCATTTCTATCCTGAGATAAAATGCCTTCACAAGATGGCTCATACAGCACAAGAAGGCTATAGCATTGTTGTTTGTAGAATATAAAAATGTAAGCTCCCGAAATACCCGTCAATGGCTAAATAAACTGTTTTCTAGTTATATTATTAGATATCCTGTGGCATTAGAAAAAAGGACAGAAACATTTGCGTATAGTAACATGGCTTACTGTTAGAATTAATTTACTTGGGCTGCTTTAACAAAATACCTTAGATTCAGTGGCTTAAACAGTAGAAATGTATTTCTCACAGTTCTGGAGTTAAGAAAGAAGTCCAAGAACTAGGTTCCAGCCTGTTTGGTTTCTGGTAAGCGTTCCTTTTCTGGCTTGCTTTAGAACACTGTGTCCTTACACTAGAGATAGGGGTATAGGGAATGGGTTGTTGAGAGAGAGAAAACTTTCCTTCTTATAAAGACACTAATAGCATCACGAGGGCCCTACCCTCATGACTTTATCCAACTCCGATGATCTCCCAAAGGCCCCATCTCCAAATATTACCATATTGAGGGCTAGGGCTTCAACAAATGAATTTTTGGGTGGACACGATTCAGTTCAGAAATAGATCTCACATTGTAGAGTAAAAAAATCAAGTTGCTGATGATATGTTCATTTTGACTTCTGTTTTCTTAAAAAAATTACAAAACAATATGATTCATACCTGTTTTCTGCCACCTAGGATAGGAAATAAAACACCACCAAAAGATTTGGAGCTGCCTAGACTAAACTCTGCCAATTTACATTTCTTCCTACAATGTCTTATGATCATTCAACCAAACACTTAACAGGAGTAATATAATATTTTAAAAATCTTTCCAAAGTTAAAAGGGAAGAGATTTAACATGTACTCCTTGTTCCTTCCACTGTCTCACATGCTCACCCTGACCCCCATCTCTTCCCTACCTCTAGGTAACAATAACCCTGATTTTAAGCTTTTCTCATTGCCATATATTCTTTCATATTATTACAGCGTATCTAATACTCTAATTTTCTGTGGCTACATAAATACGTGCAGATGTACAAAAAAGACTTGTAAAGTAGGTTATGAAGCCCACTGTGATCACCTCAGGGAAAGAGGGAAGAGGGAGTAAGATGAGGCAATTGTCCAAGGGGACATATGCAATATTTTAATATTTTACAATGAGAAAACATACAGGTGAAAGTGATGGCTACCTCTTTATTAAAATGATATAATAATGGTACACCTGTCTGGAAGTAGCTGGTTTTCTCACAAACATAGTTTTCAACTTTATGTTTTGAGTATTTTGATATTTTAGGTATTTAATATTTTCATATGAATTTTAGAATTAGTTTTTCCATTTCTATAAATAGCCTGCCAGAATTTTGTTTGCGATTCTAATATATGCATTTATTAAGATTTTTAAACTCTCTCAACTGTTTTATAGTTTCCAGTGTATAGATGTTGCACAGCATTTATTATATTTATACCTGGTACTTCATTTTTTTGATGCTGTGGCAAATGGTGTACTTAAGCATGTTAATTTCCAAATGTTCATTGTCAGTATGTAGAAATATGATTGATTTTAACATATTGACATTCTATCATGGGAATTTGGTAAATCCATTTGTTTTAGTCCCAGTTTTTATAGATTCCATAAGATTTTCTTTCTTTTTTTCTTTCCTTTTTTTTTTTTTTTTTGAGGTGGAATCTTGCTCTCTGTGGACCAGGCTGGAGTGCAACACATCTCAGCTCACTGCAATCTGTGCCTCCCAGGTTCAAGCAATTCTCCCGCCTCAGCCTCCCGAGTATCTGGAATTACAGGCATGCACCACGATGCCCTGCTAATTTTTGTATTTTTAGTAGAGGAGGGGTTTCGCCACGTTGGCCAGTCTGGTCTTGAACCCCCACCTCAGGTGATCCGCCCGCCTTAGCCTCCCACAGTGCTGGGATTACAGACATGAGCCACCGTGCCCAGCCAAGATTTTTTACATAAATATTATGTCTCCTGGGAATGAGTATAGTTTTATTTCTATTTCTAATCTGGATTCTTTTGACTAATTTTTTTTTGTGCTTTATTGCATTGGCTGGAACTTCCAATGCAGTGTACAGTAGAGAAGTGTGAGAATGGACATCCTTCCCTTGTTTGTGATCTTAGGGAGGAAGCATTTGGTCTTTCACCATTAAGTCTGATGATTGCTGCAGGTATTTAATCACAGATGCTCTTGATCATGTTGAGAAAGTTCCCTTCTTTTCCTAGTGTATTAGACCATTTTGATGCTGCTATGAACAAATACCCAGGATTGGGTAACTTAATAAAAAAAAAAGAGATTTAGGCTGGGCGCGGTGGCTCACGCCTGTCATCCCAGCACTTTGGGAGGCCGAGGCGGG